TAAAAAATATTTTTTTTAATGTTTTTTTTTTCTTTTCGTTGTAATTTTTTTTTTAAAAAACAAAAAAAAAAAAAAAAAAAAAAAAAAAAAAAAAAACAGAACATTTTTGGAAATAAGTTAATGTTTTTGGGTGTCTGGAAAAGTGAGTCATTTCAAAAATGTACTGATTGATAAGTCATGATCGACAGGACAGTGCTGTTACCTAGCAACCCCGAGCATTCACATAGCAATCCAAACATGCATAATTTCCTGCCACTTCACAATTTTGTATTATTTTGTATTGTTCTTGCAGAAAAACAAAAACAAAAAAAAAATAAAATAAAGATTATGTTTTTAATGTTTAGGAACTGGGGCAGTAATAATAATTTTAAGCTAACAGTGAGTGTGATTATCATTTGCTGCCTCTCTCAGACACTTATCATCATAGATAGCGGTCCTTGATGTGATCATCACCTTGAGCAGGTCCTCCAGGCGCATCACTTCCTGCTCCAGGTCTTGCAGCTCCCTGCAGCGATGGGTCAGCGACTCCAGCTTGGTCAGCAGGTTGTGGATGGCTTCCTCCAGGCTGCTCTCCAGGAAAGCCCTGCTCCCCTCCCCCGCCCAGCCCAGACTCCCCCCGCCTTCAGTCGAGCTTCCGGCAGGTGAGACGATTTCTGACGACGTCAGCCTCTTCACAAGCTGCCTGGTCAGGTTGCCCGGCTCCTCCGTGTCCAGCTCCACTGGCTTCAGTTCGTCGGCGTGGTCCAGGAAGACGTCCTCGGGCGCCACGGTGGACAGGTGTCCATCAGAGCACAGCGACGGCGCGGCCGAGCCGCAGTTGGAGATGGAGTTGCGCTGGGACTCGGTGCGCTCCCACTCCGAGTCGGCGACGTCGGCTTCGTCGCTGGCAAGGCTGGCACTGTTCCTGCTCCCTCTGCTTCCCGTTTCCCCGTCCTCCTCGTACACTTCCTCCTCCTCGTCCTCCTCTTCCTCTTCCTCCTCTAGATGCTCCTCTGCAATGGAGTCCTCCATGGTCTGCAGGATGGGGGTGGGTAACGAATCTGTGTCTGGAGGAGTGACGGTGATCTCGGGGTTGGACTGGCTCTGGGAGAAGGAGCTCTGGGCGGGGCTGGGCGAAGACCCCGATGTGTCAGAGAAGGTGAAGGACAGACGTTTGCACTCGGCCACACCGCAGCCACCATTCTCAAAGATGTCGTCCGGTAAAGTCGACTGGAAAGGCAAAGAAAGGAGTCAGACTTTAAAAACATCGAAGACAGCAAGGCAATTTCAAATCTGAGCGTCTTAGACAGGAACGATCAGAAACGACAGCTTTAGCTCTTCTCTTTTAAGACTTAGGACTAAAATGATTCATGCATAGCATGAATGGCTAGAAGCAAGTCATGCACATCCACAAGCAAACTACCACACATGCAATTCTGAGGATTTTAGAGTGAAGCCGGACAAACCCAGCTTGGTTGTTTCAGTGAGGCAGGTGCAACACAGTTAGGGTTCCAGAGAAGGGGCGGCGGTGGGCTGATGAGGGGGCACACAACACACTCACATAGACCTCCAGACTGGATCTGGGCCTGGGCCGGAGCGAGGCCAGGTCACCAAAAGAGCGGCTGCGCCTTAGCTTCTCCAGCAGCGTTTCTCGCAGCATTTGGAGGAAGGAGAGGCGCTGGCGCTCGACGGGATACGGCGGCCACTTCTTTACCCAGAGCACAGAGGGATGAGGGAGAGGGGCGTTTGGGGTATGAGCAAGAGCAGGATTATGAGACACCGAAGGGCATTATGACGAGGAACCGGATGGACGAGGGTTAGTGCAAAACTGATGATGTACAAAAATGATTTGGTTTGTTTTGTCATGCAGCACAGGTAGTGCTTGGACTTACAAAGAAGGAGCTGTCCTGGAAGGTGGGGGTCTCCGGAGTACCCTGGCTGTAGACAGATACTCGTCTCTGGAGGGCTGCAGCTTTGCTCAAGTTGCCCGATGACAGAGTCAGGTCTTCAACATCGAAGGGGCTGAAAGAGTGAAAGAAAATTATATGAATTATGTGTAGGGTTCCAAGAAGGAACTCATTGAACTGCTCATTTTTCTTCTTCAAAGTTAATGTTTCCCCACTAGGTGGCAGGACACCACAAGCTACACACCAGCACTGTGTTTGCAGCTCCTAACAGTTGTGGGCGTTCTGAATATGAAGTGAACATATGGCAAGTCCAGTAATAGACTCTAAACGGATCAAAATAGACATTGGCTGCATCCCACAGCTCTGCTATGCAGCAATGTCTTCCATATGCTGGGGATAAACAACTTACTCTACCAAGATTGACTTAAAACTTAAAATGACGAAACGACGGAGGAACGCTTTTTTATTTTATCACAAAATGTGACTTTGAGGTTGTTAATTCTTACAAACGTCTACTTACTACCACGTCACCTCCAGGTTGAGCTTGATTGTTCCCAGGTCATTGACATCCACAGCCACCACCTGGGGCATGGCTGTGAACAGCTCCTTGGTTTCACAGATGACGCTGCCCACCAGCATGTGAGTGGCCAAACCCTTCAGCTCGGTCACCTGTCGAAGGCAAACGCACGTTTCAATCCCTGACCTCAGGGCGGGAGAGTCGACTCGACTGCAGCCGCTCGGCGTTTTGTAACCGTGTTTTCTCTGCGGCACCTTGATGTTGATGAGATCGGAGATGAGGGGCATGAAGACCATCTCGTCTCCGTCCCAGCTTTGCCTGGAGTTCACTTCGATTCTCCCCTTCAGCTTCCAGCGCTGCCGACCGTACCGCATGAAAATCTGACGGACGGGACAAAAAGAAGCGAGACTTTGACGTAAAATTATTCTAATTACCGAGTACTATTCAGATGCAGTATATTATCTTCTCTTAATACAAAATGTAATCCTCTATCAGCTTCTCAATGTAATATTCAACAATGTAGCTGCTAAATATTTAATTGTCTTCTTTAGCTGACTTCTGACTGGCAGCTATAATGAAGTTTAAGGACTTGGAGAACAGAGAAGTTTCATTCCCTTATGAATATAACCAAAGTGAAAACAGGGGTATAAACTGTGCGAGCTGTTTTATGCAGCCCCTTTTGTACACTTTGGCAGGCTTTCACATGAAAAAACATCAAAAACTCGTTAATATACTTTGAACAATGATAGCATGTGGCATAAATAAGATACAATTAACTTTAAATCTGACTGAATCTGCACAGAAAACAAAAACAGCTCTAATTAATGTAATTTAATAAAAAGTGTTAGAAATTCATCCTCCAAGGATTCACTACATGTCAGTGCATAATACGTTAGGCCACATTGTGGTGATATTCAATCATTTTAATACAGGAAGCATGAATAAATATTATTCAGTCCATATTTATTAGCATCCTTCTATTCAACACTGGCAATCACTGTGACATTATATTTTATAACAAGCTGGATTATTTTGGCACATAAAGGCTTCCACTGAAACTATTATGTAAAGTTGTTTGCATAGTAAATCCAAGTAAAGCGAATTTAGTAATTTTTGCTCAACAAAGGGTGTGGACATTGCACAAACTTTGAAAGGCCTCTGAACTTTCCTGTTTTCCTCTGATCTTTTTAGAAATATATACTTCATGCAGCATTAATCAAACTATTTTCTTAGACAGGCCATCTTCGTCACTTTATTGCTTCTATAATCTAATCCTTCACTTTGGCTTTTTTATTTGCTTATGATTGGGATTTTCTTTCTTTTTTTTGCGCCCACTTTGATTGAAATTTTGACTGTCTGCTTAAGAAACTGCTCATCTTGCGACATCCGTTTTCTTCACAGTGGTAATTTTCCCAATAGCAGCAGGGGTTAAGGAAGCAGATGACAAGTTCAAATGGCTTCTCGAAACATATTTAGATAATTGCTGATCGCCGGTTGTCAGTGTTTTGTGTCGAAAAGTAAACCGCCACAATCTATCACATCTAAAGGTCAACCTTTTGAATGACCTTTTCAAGCGCCTCCATACGCTTCACTTAGGTTGAAAGTGACTCCTCTCCTTTACCCCCATCTGACAGCAAGCCTGCATTTCTAGAATAAATTTCAACCCTGAGACGTTACCTGATGTGTATTGTGTAGAGCCGCGAGTCAGACAAAACAAGAGGGCGCTCATTTGTTTTGGGATCGTGTTTTGTCGAGTTTTTGTGGAAAATGTGGGATAATAAACATGTGCAGAATGCAGTAAAGCATACAAGAGATTCAGTTAATAAGCAACAGCCATCTGACTGTCCCCAGAAACAAAGTGAGAAATAAATATTATATGCTCTCAGAGCTAAGTTATAACTGCTCCTTGTAAAAGTTTAATTTTATGAATCACTAAAAATGTAGACGCTATATAAATAAGACATATCAAAACTACAAAAACAGACCAGAATCTGACTTTGCAGATTTGACACTGACATATGAATAAAGCTAAACCCTTAAATACCGATTTGATGCACAGTACAGCTAATATCAGAGAAGATGGAAAAATGGCTTTCAAAGTAAGCTTAAAACACAACAAAGAGTCAAAAACAGGAAGCGGCACTATATATGGATGATGGCATGGAATCTAATGACACAAACAAAATTGGGTCAACTTTTGTAAGAAAGATAATTTTGGGCAACAATCACTCGAACTAAACAGGTTTAAAAACTGGATTTCTCCTCATCCTCAAAAACATAAGCATGTTTCGCCTCGGGGTCTTGAAACAACTGCTTTATTACTTTAGGGAAAGGAACAACCCAAAGCTGAGGGGAAAGGGCAGTGTGACGGCTTAAGCTTTTAAATCCACTGGGTGTCGTTTGTGAGCATAAAGTCGATCTGGTCAGAATCAGCAGAATATTTCAGCCGCAGTATTTCACTTATTACTGAAGAATTTAAGAACATGAACTAAACTTGGTGAATTTTCAAATTTCTTATGTTAGTAGGTTGGTTTTTATTAAGAAGAAAATGAAAACATGCTTACCTCATATTGGTCTCCAGGACAGAGCCTAGCAAAGCCTGCCAATCCTATCAAAACAGAAAAAATGGGACAATTGGTAAATTGTAACCAAAATATCCATGTAACTACAAACTTCAAATTCAGGCCAAATTAGCAAACATTTTTATAGGATTAAAAAGAGAAATCCAAATTATCACGGTACTTTTCCTTTGAGTGAACTCACCTTTCATTTTGATGTGAAACTCCCCAAGCAGATTCTCCAGTTCGCTCTCAAAAGCACTCATGTTCTAGACAAAATAAAATAAAATAAGGTCAAACAAAAAGGATTCACAGAAAGAGGAAAGAGTTATCTACTGATTCAACACCAAAGTGCGGTGGAGGACTCCTCTGAGCATTTATGGACAGGTGAGGACACAGGTGTGAGTGTTTGAGGGGGATTTAAAGGCAGAGGTGTTTACGAATGAGGGTAAATAGTTGTCCCTGTAATATGTTGTAGGTGTTGTCTAGCGCGATGTAAACAGTAATACAGATCTGTGAAGAGGTTCAACTACTCTTTGCTTCAAAGAACCCAGATAGTCACTTAGTCTTTTAAAGTGGTCTTTTTCTGTGCTTTCTGGGGGTCATTCAAAGATTTCTGTGGTTGTTTTTAAGACTTATTTAGTTCCACTCACTTTCCCAATCACTTGGACAGTTCTGCCTGAAATGTTCAGAGCTTGAGGTGTTGCTTTATAACCCAATTCTACTTTAAACATCTGCACAACTTTCTCCTTGACCTGACTCCTGGTTTCTTCAAGATGATGTCGATCGCTAAAGTTCTCCAACAAGCTTTACCGAACAGCTGGAGTTGATCTCGCAAGTATTTTCTACTTAAAGCTTTGGTCCATCCCATTAAAATACGTTAATATTTGTTGTTGTAATGTAATAAAAAAGTTGGCAAAAAAAAAAAAAAGATGCTTTGAGGTTAATGTAACTAAAACCACCGTGTTTATCTACAAGCCTAATATTTGCAGAGTTTTCCTGCAGTACCTCGGTGTACTCCTTGTACCGGCGGTTGACCTCTGCGATGCTCTCTTTGGTGCCTTTGGTGGAGGGAGAGGAGGAGAAGGCCTGCTTCATCCTGATGGCACCGTCCTTCAGGCGGCTCTGGATACAGAAAGCTTCGTACAGCTCATCCACCTGAGGACAAACATTTAGGAGAAAGCGGACGGTCGTATACAGTTTCTATTTTAAACAGGAGGAGGAAAATACACAAAGAGAAGGATGGAAAATGTATGCAAAACCCATAAATGACAGGACACACAAACCAGAAGAGTCTTAAGGTAAACTGTCTGCAGCTGGTATGAATATGTGTAGCCGCAGGCTTTAAGGACCCCAGTCTGTGACACAGTGGGATGCTTCCCTTCTGAGGTACCGTCAGACTGGGCTTAGAGCTCAGCTGGAGAGGATTTCAGGTTTCAAAAGCAGCCTGAGTTTATGCTCTACAGAACAGCACAGAAACGAGGAACATCTCCATCAACGTCCGGATAATTTACTGCGAGGTAAAAATGACGAGGGTTCAGAAGAGATGCAGATTAGATACCGCAGCATCTTCTGTCATCTCAACATACTTTTTTTCCCCCTTACTTCAATTTCCACATATGAAATCTAAATCTCACATTATTTCCCCAAAACATTAAATGCAATTTATATGCAAGGTTGAAATAGAGCTAAGTACATAAAGAAGCAAGTTTAACTGGTTATCTCAATCCAACTAGCCTAGAAATATTAAAACAAAGCAGATACTCAAAGGTTGAAGTAGTGCCGAGTAACAAATTCTGAAAGCAGTTTCTGGACTTCTAATTTCTGTTTTTTTTTTTTTTACCTTCCTGAAGTCACATATGATCAAAGTGGCAGCCCGGCAAAACAAAACACCTCTGGTGAACCTCATCAAAGGGAGATACAGCTGCCTGACTGGTGCCAGCGCTGAAATATTGATGCTGAGTGCTTTTTATGGCACTCATTAGGGAGATGCTGGAGCGAACGGGCCAGTCTGGCTCCTCTTGTCCTAATAGCTGCCATTTATTTATGAAACACCGTGTGTCGGAGAGACTTTTAAGATGAGGACGCAATCGGAGGTTCACGCTGGAAAGTTTCTGTTCGATGGGTTTTGAAAATCAAGTCAGATGATGTCAGATTTAAATCTCACACCCACGGCGATCCCAGCAGCTCCACCTCAAACCGAGCGGCCCACCAGCCTGCCCCGGAGCAGGGGCCCAGCCCGTCTGCCTGTCTGTCTGTGGTATGTGGCGAAGCGGCAGCAGCTGGAACCGGCCTCAGAACAACGTCTAACCTCACACGCTGTGTTTACTCGTCGTAAAGGAGATCCAGAGGCTGGAGTTGATCTGAAATGTTTCAGCGTGTCATGCTGCGCCTCATGGGTGGGAGATACGATACGGAATTACGTTTTTCACAATATTTTGTGGTGTTAATGCGATAATTATACAAGAGTCGATAAGAACTATTTATGACTTCTGTGGCTGCATTGTAGCACACACAAATATCTCTGTTGAGAAACGTTCTGTGCTTTTGGAGAAAACACTACACACAGTACATGTGCATTTAATCACATTTTCAATTTTACTGATATTTACTGAACAGTGGAGAAAATGGTAAAAAAAAGAAGTAATTCCTACAATACAGTTTTTTTTTTAAAAACACCCTTAATTGGAATTTGTCGTGAAAAAGATTAATCAAAATTCTCATCCTGATTAGAAATGAGAAAACAAGATACATGCCCAATTACACAGGAATCCGACATATAATAATTTTCAAACCACAAATGATTTCAATCCTTTTTAAAGCCATTAATGCAGTGTGAATAGAAAGTTTTACAATAAAGTTAAGGTGGATATTTGAGTTGTGAGCATGATTAAAATATGAATAGATGGAGGGATGAAGTGGCAGGTGGACAGACAAACTGACACCCAGATGGATGGAAGGGAAATATCTTCATACACATATTCTTTTACCACTTTTGTAAAAATAAAACCTGGAACTTGAAAATGCTTAAATGAAATTCAAAACTTTTCCAGCCTGTGTAGGAACCAAAAGGTTCCTACTCATTGAGAGAAAGTGATGCTTCTTTGGAGGAAAACTGGGAAAAATGGGCTCTAACAAATCAGAGCTGATTAATAGCCATTATCCTATCATTGTTGGATAACGAAGCTAATTTTTGTCCCCAATTACAGCGGCCGCTCGCTGCCTTCGAGGACATGTACTTGTGAAGGTCAGCCAAGCCTTCTTCCAGAGGCCGTCCATCAGCATATTGCTCTGCCTTGGGCACATTGGACCCCAGAGAAAGAAGAAACATGAAAGGAAAAAATACAAACAGAGAGAGAACCGCGACACAGACAGATGGCTCAAAATCCAACATGTCTCGTTTCCAGCCCATTCTGACAGACAGCAGTACAGATTCTCCTCTCCAAACAAGACAAACACAGGCACACAGGATCAGATGCACCTCGCTCGCTTATAAGGAGGGTCCTGAAGAGGCATTCAAGATTTGGTCTCATTAGTCGTACAGGGATTTGCATTAACAGAAAACATTAGGATTGAGTAGATTTAACCAGAATCATTAAAGTGAAGCAATAAGAAAAAAACAAACAGTTAAATACAGTGCTTTTGTTGCAACAAACCATAATGCATTTTATTGGGATTTTATGTGGTAAACCAACAAAAAGTGGTAAATAATAGTGAAGTGAGACGAACGAGTGAAAAATGAAATATGGTTCTTCAAAATATAAGAACCCTTGAATCGGAAAAGTGTGTCATGCATTAAAGGGGCTCCTTTACGCCGATGTCCTTAAATAAATTTCAGCGCAACAACTTCAGACATCTACTTGGCAAACAGAGAAAAAACCGCAATATCAACTCAAGTACCGAGGTGCTGTGAAGAGCTCAGGGATTTTTTTTTTTTTTTAGAGATAAATTGTGGATAAAATATAAAGAGTGACATAACTGGAAACCTACATAGATATTCACCTAAACTGACAGGCCAGATATAGGAAAGCATTAATTGGAGAAGCAGCCAAGAGTCCCATGGTAGCTCTGGATGAGCTGCAGAGATCCACCGCTCAGGTGGGAGAATCTGCCATAAGAACAGCCATCAGTTGAGCAGCTATATACTACTTTGTGTTGGCCTATCAAATAAGTTTTCAATTATGACATGCCAGAATGTAGAACAAGTTCATGCAATACAAATTCACTTATCTGCAAAGCTCAGTAGTTGTACAACCTTAAAGGGTCATTCAATGAAAAAAAAAAATCCTTTCTGTTTTGGCTCTTGGCCAGCACATCTGGTAAGTGGTTATTAAGATAGATTAAATCTAAATATATGCTAAAATCAGTTCTCTTTTGAAGTGTTTTAATTACAGCTCAGAGTGCTGGAGGGGGAAAAAAACCCCAGCGAGCTTGGAGAACCAGCTGAGAGTTTTGGGAACATCTTTACTAGGGAATCAATTTTGGTCCTTGTGAGAAGCAGACTAAATATTTGTTAAGCAATGTTCTTATGCTGTCGACCAATTAAGTTTCACTGGGAATTTTACAGGATTGTATTTGAGCCTAATAATATCCAAATAGACTGTGTAATTTTAACAGAATCTACGGGATTTTGCTAAAAATCCTCTTAAGACGTGGACATTATCGAGAATTGCTGGATAATGGCGCACACCCACCTACATTTCATGCCCAGGAGCAAGTGATTATAAGCAGATTAAAAAGCTGCAGGCCCCACCAAACACCCGGACCCTCTCTGGGGAGCTGTGTGTGTGTGTGTGTGTGTTTACAGACTAACAATCAAGATGGCGGTAGAGGAGGCAGCAGTAAATGCCCTTTATTAAAAATAATCACATGCAAAGTATTCACACTCATCCTGGGTTGAATTTGGCATGTGGTTAGTACCAAAACACGCCCGCCCTCGGAAAGGGAGATGGTGCCTGGCAGCTGCTCTGCTCACCTTCAGTCTGCGTCACTCATCTTTTTAATGATGCCCTGCTGATACCGCTCCCCACACACACACTAACCCAACCAGTGGCTACAGACTTCGTCCCATGCAGGACATCATAGAGGTTGGTTGTGTTGTGCCACCTGCCTCCTCCATGCGTGCCAATTACAGCGCAGACATCTGCAGGTGACGCGGGGAACAAAAGCGCGGGCTGATGTGACTCGCAAACTAACAACCCCGCTGATCGACGATTGTTAAGTTGTCCCTCGTGGCAGCTGTTCGGCACAAAGAGACGCGGCCGAGTCTGGGCTTAAACACGTTCACACCTGAGCTCCCAGCTGCAGCAGAGATGAACAGATATGTTTTTCGGAGACGAGAGAAAATGGCACGTGCCGGTGCTCTGGAGCTCGCGTCTCATTTTGAATCGTAAATCCAGTGATTATCCAAAAGCAACATAAATCTAACGGCATCTCTGATGCTGCTGCTGTTATCTCTTCGGTATACGTCACCCTGTGCAAGTACGAAATGGAATAAAAAAATTTATGTTTAAAAAAAAAAAAAAATTACAAAAACATATGCCTCTTGTTTTTCAGTTTTTCATCTTAAAAATGTATCACAAATCTTCCATTCATGACCAGCTGAAGCACTTTCTTTCAGATAGTCAACTAAGCAGGTCTTTGTATAGCTCTGCTTTACATATCCTTGCCAAAACTGTATTTTGTATACACTTTCTTGACAGAATATAAACTGTGCATTTTATTTTTATTTTTCTAATAGTGATTTCTGTTCCAGAAAATAGGAACCACAGAAAAGTAATTTCAAGGAAAGGAAGAAAAGTTTGTGAAGCTTTTACAAACAATCCAGAGTCAGTAATGAGACTGCAGAAAACATCAGTGAACATGATGCTAATATTACACCTGCGAGCAAAACAGAAAAACAGTCGGAGCTAAATTTAACCTGATAGAGAGAGACTGGAGGCTTCAAACCTGCATGACAAGGTAAATCAGACAATCCTTTGCTTCTCCAAATATTTGCAGCTACGCTTAAATCTATTTCTGTTCTGAGTCAGCAAGAACAGAGAGGGCATCAAAATGAAGCTGGATTTCAAGCTGAAAGTCTGAGTCTTTGGTTGCTCAACACCATCCCGTGACATCTTCATAACGCGGAGGAAACATCGCTACGTTTTGTTTGTCACCGGTGTCAAAGAAAAGCTCAGTGCAGAAATACTTTATGACTTCAGAGACGTGGCCTAGTATGACGCGACTGACATATTTTTTTCATGTTCCTTTTCCCGCATTTAAAAACCTCCTCAGTCACACCTAATCCAAATTCATTACTCCTTCCTGTCCTCGAAAAAAAGGAAAAGCTTTGCATTACAAATCAGTTCAAAACACAATCTCTTTCACTGCTTTAGTCCCGTTCCACGGGACTAAAGCAGTTCATTGTCCTAAATCTTGCGTATGGCTACAGAGGGTTAACATTCCAGGTAGATGGCTTCCTTGAATTCCCAATTTGACTTCAAAGGCCGTCTTGAAGGTAACCATAGTTACAGTCGGATCTGTGCAGTTGTTTTGACGCGTGTGCTCTGATAACCTGCTGTCAGGTCTGATTTGATGCCCAGCAAGCTATGTTGGACTACAACAGAGGATGTGGAAGAACAGTCAAAGAGACTTGCAAGCTTGTAGGACCTACAAAAAAAAAATGCTGGAGATTACGGACCCCAACTGGGAGCCTGTGAGGAGACTACAACAAAAGGTATAAAAGGGGAAAAACGTTTTCTTTTTCTTGTCGTAAGCATTAGAACAGCAGGGAACCTAAACTTATTATCCAAACAGGAACAAAAATAAATAAATAATATAAAAAGAGAGCTCTCATGGCTTTTGGTCTAATAAAAAAAAAAAAAAAAAATAGAATACATTTAAGCTACCGTATTTTCCTGACTATTGAGCGCACCTCACTCTAATCCCCTCCTACAAATTACAAAAAAACAAAAAACAAAAAACACAAAACAAAACAAAACAAAAAAAAACCTGGAAACGTACATATTAAGCCTTAATAAATCAGCTATTAAGGACGCAGTCCTCCATCTCCAACGCTGAACCATGGATTCGTTCACGCCAGGTAGCGGCTACCGATCTGTACTGTCAGATCGATAACCTTCAAATTAAAAGCTGCATCATATGAACTTCTTCGTGTTGTTTCCATGATGAGGGGGAACGAGTTTGAAAACATTTCTCCGTCGTGCCTGCTGCTAGCATGTGCTTGTTGTAAATGAAAATTAGCGCTTTCTTCTTTGATTTCCAATTTTGACTTCCAATGATTCACTTTCTGCTAAAGCGCCCCCTGGTGGTTGACGAAAAATCCACAGAAAAACCGCACCGGGCTGTAAGCCGCATGGTTCAAAACGTGGGGAAAAAGTAGCGGCTGAAAAATACGGTATTAAAGGGCAGACATATCACAATACCTAATAAACACTTTCACATTTTAGAAAATATGGAAAGTAGAGTTTGTCTTTTTCGTTTGTCATTGGAAGCTGCTCTTGTAAGATCAGAGAAATGAGACAGGTGGCAAAAACAGGAACAAATTTGTACATGCTTCACGAGAACTCAAGAGCAGAACCCATCGGACGTTCACTTTGGTCAGTAGGGTGCACTGATCGAAATTTTCTGCCCAATCTTTAAAAAGTGTCAGAAATAGCTTCTTAATAGCTTAAAATGTACATAAACATTTTAAGCTCGATATATAGAGAAATTTTATAACTGCTGAATGTAACATGGTTAGTTGATTGTGCTATAAAATGGCACTATGTGAGATATAACGCACAGAAAGTCGATTTTACATAATAACCCCCTATAAAAACAACAGATTTTGACCAAAGTTCTTGGCGGATAACATACAGAAATAGCTGCACTTAAATAAAACATATCCTTTACACAAATAAGAAGCAAACCTGAAGAATTATGTTAGCTACATTATTTGGAGAGATTGAAATGCCTGTAATATGCAAAAGGCATGAAACCTCTACTCCTTTTACATTTTCTGTTTTTATGAATATCTGGGTACAAGGGGGAAAAAACAATAAGGGGGAAAAAAAGCTTGTATGAAAGATTCAGGTCAGAACTGTTAAAACATTTTTAAGGTACAAAGGGCCCTAAAATAATAAGAACCCACTGGGACCTCAGCAATCCTTACCTTGCTGATGTGAAACTCGAGGCGCCTCATGTACCTCTCAATGCTTTTGATTTGCTGCAGGAAGACACAGAAAGCCAGCTTCACTACAACAACAATGCGGCAGCGCATGGCATTTTGATGCAAAAACGTCTCTGTGTTTTTCAACGCAACCTCCATTGGCTTACCTTGTCGAGATCATACAGCACTCCCTGGAGAATAACAACACAGAAAGTTAGGAAAAGTAATAAAATATAAATGTTTATGTTGCTTAAACCTAATATTTGCATGCGCAGTGTTAAACCACATTGACGTGTTCTCATGCATCTCACCAGGCGAGAGTTCCTCTTCATGTCTTTCATCAGAGATGTGAGTTTATCCAGCTCCGTCTGATGAACTTCAAGATATTCACTGAGCAGCAGGTAAAGAAAACGTTTGATAAAAATCTTCACGGATCACTCAAAGGAAATAGCAAATCTCTTAAACTTAAACATTTATGAGATCAGTCTAAACTCGCTCCCAGGTGGGAATGTTAACGACGATGACTGGATGAACACGAGAGTGTGAGTTACTCACTCCAAGCCTTGTTTGAGAGCCGTGTAGACCTCCTCCAGTCGTTTGGGCTGCGGCTCCCTGGAGCTGCTGCTGCCTTTTTGGCCAGATAGGTGGGGCTTCTTGGGCTTCGACTGAGGCTTCTTCGGCACCGCGGAGTTCCCAATGAACGAGTTACAGCTGCAGACGCAGAAAGACGGATGAGGATTTTATATTCCACCGGGTCAATGACTTTGACAAACTCCAAACCAGAACTGGTGTGAATAGTGTCGAGAAAAGGCATTCGGATTAGACACTTGCATATTTCTTACCATTTACTGAGGATAACCTGAGTAAATACAACAAAAACAGTTTACAAATGATGGTTTCACTTAGTCAGAGAAATGATCCAAACATGGCTTTACCTACGTGAAAAAAAAAAAAAAAAACAACAGCAAACTTTAATGCTGGTTGTGCCACCCTTGGCGTCAACAGTTGTCATGTAGCGTTTGTGGTGGCTGGCCGCGAGTCTTTTACATCTCTATAAAAGGTAATTGGTCCACTTTTCTTGGAAGAATTGTTTTAATCCAGCCACACTGGAGGGTTTAAAGCATGAACAGTCTATTTATAGTCGTGCCACAGCGTCTCAATCCAGTTCAAACTCTGCAGGGCCCCTTTCGGTGCACTTCAGAGAAAGACATGCAGGTATGGCCTTGGATCATGGCCGCCACAAGCTGATGGCTGGACAGTCTTCATGGTAGAGGTGTCAGAGTTCAAAACTTTTTGTCTCATCAGTCCAGTCATCAGTAAGATGTTGTTTTGTCTCATGTGAATTGGGTCTTTACGTGGAGATTTGATTATCTCTTATTAGTCAGTACTGGTTTTCACCTCGAAACTCTCCCAACAAGCATTTTTTGCAGAGTCTCTTTCCTTCTTTTTGAATTTGAACTCTGACCTTAACCTTTAGAGATGCCTGTCCTGCTTTAGATATTGTTCTCGGTTCCTTTTGACCTCCTGGATGTTGTGGTGGGGCATTATTTGATCCAGTTTGGCAGGTGGGACCCATAAGGAGAAGGTTCCTCATTTCCTTTCCATACTGATGAAAACTTTGTTTCTCATCTTTTCTTGTATTTTATTTTATTTTTTTTTAATGGATTTTAATATGCCTGGGAGTGGCTGTGGAAATTAAACTAATTTTTACCAAACATTTGAAAAGTTATCATAAGTTAATGATTTAAAGAGGTTGACAGTTAGTTTTCGTCATATATCAAGGGGTTTTTTTAATCAATAAATGATATAATCATTCCAAACATATTCTGTATTACATTTGATGATCTCCATCTGGTACTAAAATCTGTTTGGTAATCTGAAACTTTTTCCTTTTTGCAGAAAAAGAATACGTAACACTGCGACTCTCTTGTTAAACACGTTAACAAATCACATCTTCACCTAAGGAGCCCGGACCACCTCCCAGGAAGCGTGTGCGAAATGGCACGTATGTGTGCCTATCTGGGAAGTCATGCGGACACGGCCTCTCTGAGCCCCCGCTACTTTTAACTGACCTCAGAAAGGCCGCCGTTTATCTTGCTCCAGAGCAAAGTTACAAAACGGAGCCAATAAAGCTCAGAGCAATCTGTGAGACTCGACTGTTCATCCGTCTCCTCCCCGGCGGCGGCTCACAAAGAAACCAACAACTGATTCAAAAAGAAGAAGAAGACAACACTTCTGGTACAGCTAAGCACAAGTCGGGTGTTGAAGGAAATGAAAAAAATAGTCATTTAAATTATATCATTACAATTACCGGGATACTTGTGAATTTATTTAAGGAATTAGATATTTATATTTTTTTAAAAAGTACAATAAGAGCATTTAGACCCATTCTATTTGTACATAAAATCTCCTGACATTTAAAGTAGTTTATGGTGACATCCAATAAGGTTTCCATGGCCCACAGCATTACAAATCTCCTGCCACACTAAACAGCAGGCATTTCTCCACGCATCTTCTGTATCTTCATCTGCTGTAATAAAATTGACCCACTTGCAGCTCAGCCTTGTTCCCACTTGAGCAACGCCCATTGTTCAATGCAACGTGATAATCAAGTATTTCAAATTAAAGAAAGTTCCACATCCTTCCATCTTTTGTGTCATTTTGTTTTTTTAGCAAATCTTGTGATTTAATCCATCGCGCCGGTTTTAAAAGTAGCCAATTCAGGTTCATTTAAAATAATAATAATAACAAAACAGTCAAACAATTCTGTTATTTAATAAAGTGGAAACGTCAATCCACAGTTTTGTTTGATGTTTTTTATTAGTTAGTTCCAAAAGTTCATATAACAAAAAAAAAACACTGCAGACTGAACTCAATCTCCTTTTACCCCAAATTATTTTTGCGTTAATAAGGAGCGCGTGTTTAGAGACCAAAGAGCTGCCACACTTTTTTTTTTGTTCTCCCAACAATTCTTTTTACGTCACTCTCATTTTTGCCCCATTCGTGGTTTTTAAAAGCATCTCAGATTTAGCAAGCTGCATTCTTTCCTTCGACCAAACGATCGTCTTAGGGACACGAAAGCAACCGATTCCAGAGCCGGACGAGTTGAAACGTGCGAGTGGAAGTTCACATGGCGCTGCCACAAATGTAGGGCAACACTGAATCAAACTGCTGTTTAGCCTTGGGGTCAGATGAGCTGCAGTGCAAAAATGCTTCTTGACGGAGACACGCTCAGGAGCACGCATATGCACACATGCCACAATTTCTATGCCAACTAATACATTTGATTTTGCGCCCCTGCACAAAAAGTGCAACGTCTGTAGGATGCAAGCATGCATGAATGCCTGCAAAGCGTGATCACGTATCACGCATGAGAAGTCCGTTAGCAGCAACAGAGCCACTCGTACAGACTGTGACGCGCTGCAGCGGCATCAGAGGCCGTATCTCTGCAGCCTTCCACGTCCCTCGTTATCAGAGTGTAACTCGTCTGTCGCTGCAAGTCGCCCACACACTTGAGTCATTCCAACAAATACCATACCATTCACTGTCTGATCAGAGAGAAAAGAGAGCAGGGGCATTTCTAAATGGGTTCTCTCAGCAGGACCAGGACAGCTGAAGACAAGTAAGCACCGAAAAAGAAGATTGTTAAAGAGAAATCCGGGATGGAAGTGTGAATGTGCTTTATCTCTAGAAGGAGGAGTCAAAAACATCATCCTTAAAAGCCTATTGATGTGATAACTGTAGCAACCCTGTGGGTCGCTTGAATGTTTTGCAAAGATGTCAGGAACGAACAAAAATGAGACTTTTCCAGTCTCATATTTGGAAGGAAGGATGTACAAATACAACTTTAATGCAACTGGATAGGGGGCGTAAAATTTTTTTAAATACCCCTTTTTTTTTTTTTTTTTTTTAAGTCCTTCACTGTAATTATCCGACCTTTTAAACTTTTCCAGAACAAATAAAAAGCTCCGGGACATTTTGAGCCTAATTTCAGGAAACTTAAATAGTTTCCTGTAAAACTGTAGTTAATATATCATCACCTTCCTAAAATAATGACAATGTCATTTTTTTTCCCCGAAAGTAAATTTTGCCAAAAAACAACAACAAAAAAAAAAAACCAAAGTCACAACCTATTTTTTTTTCCAGAAAATGATTTAAGAAAAAGAATCACTTTGTGGAAATATTTTTAAACCATTATTTTAGGAAGGTGACAACATGAGAGCAGTTTAGTTTGAGAGACATATTCTGAAATAAGCATCATTTTTAGAGAAGCATCTTCCTGAGGTGTGGTTTTCTTCCTTTTTTTTAATTATCTCATCTCGTTAGCTCTGTTTACAGGAAATGTTTTAGGATGAACATGTGACCATTGATTAAACTTCCAGCTTCAGGCTGAAGAGAAGCATCAGTGAAAGTCTGTCGTGTTTGTTTTTCCACCATGATCCACGCTGTCCAGACAGTCGGTGATCCGTCAGGGTCAGTGCTGCAAAACTCTAAAAGCCTTTAACACACAAAACTGACTGCAGCAAAAGCCCCTCTTAACGTCTCCGAACATCTGTTTCCAAGCTACAAAAAATAAAAACAGCATATTAACTTGGCCTTAATGTCCACTTCTGTGAAGTAGCAGCTTGAATTGTCTTTGCATTTAAATCAGGATCACAAACGCAAAGTAATAATATTTCCCCATTTGAGAAGCATTAATGACAGAAGCAGCTCTGCGACTTCTCAACGCAGCGATCATTCAGAAGTGATGTCAGCGCAGCGAAATGACTGTTTTATACAGATTACTGACACTTCTCGTCTTCTCCCACTGTGGCAGCCGTCTCCCTTGGCAGGTTTGATGCTATTCTTGAGCGCTATTCTTCTCCTCTAATGAGCCTTGGTGATGCACGTAGACACAGAATTGCAAACAGACTTGTGCCCTTAGATTTACCCCCTTTTTGCATCTGCACACGTTACAAGGCTTAAGAAACACGCAGCCAGCTGAAAATACCATGAGTGGGAGCAGTACGTCAGGTTTGGCTGGGATAAACCAGTAATTAGTAGTCCAGGAAGTACATCCTTGAAAAACAGCACTTTAAGTTGTTTGTAAGACAGTTAGAATTATTGATATTAGTAGTAAAGCCAGGAGGAGTTTTCCTCGCAATACACACAATATTTAAAAAATGCAGCATGCAGGAAAACCTTGCGACTCCAAAAATCATTTTAAACATTCACTTATAGCATTTCTTGTTCTAATCTTTTTAATTAACAATTAATAAAATCTTACACTTTGGTAAAGTAGCAATAATCATCATCAGTCGTGCTAAAAAATAAGGTTTTCTCTGCTGTCCATGATTATCTTGGCTATATTTATGTTTGCATGCATATTTAAAACAGCTAAAGTTGACCAAACACGTAATTACCTTTTAAACATAATGGGCAAAAATAACATCAACAAAATTTTAGACGGCAACCTCCAGAGTAACGTAGAACTACACAGCATATGTATTTTTCTATTAGTTTTAACGTGTTCAAAACTGCAATCAGAAATGACTTGGTGACAATATTTCTATCTTAAGGTTAAAATAGTTTAATTGTCATATATTTAAAATCTGAATGCATTATCATTCCCTGTTCTATCTAATATAGAGTTTAGTAAAGAAGAGGCTAATGCTCAAAGGCAGATTAAAATAATAAGAACCTATTTAAATTAGGTTTGTGTCCAAAAAGAGATATTTTCTGAGCAAAAAAAAAACAAATACAATTAAATGGATGTAAATCTAACACTGCAAATGTATCTAAACTAGCT